TTTACCATTGATTTTAGTTGATTTTATCACTGACTTTAGTTGATTTTTATTTTTATTTTAGTTGCACTCTGTAGCACTTTGAGATTTTTATTAATGAAAAGTGTGTTACAAATTAAATTCATTATTATTATTATTATTATTATTACTGTGAAGTCTTTCACCTCCCCACACCCAATACCAACCTGACACACAGAATCATCTTCACATGTTTGAGCAATGAGAGGATATGAAAGTAAATATGACTGTTTCAACATCAAATGGTACTAAAGCCACGATTCACCTTATTTTTTGTTACAAAGAATTTTACTTTACAACTGAACGCAGACAAGTAAAATTATTTTTTCATTCAACCTTTATTTTGATGGCATTTACCTGTCTAAATAAAGGTTGAATGAAAAAAAGAATTTTATTTGTCTGCGTTCAGCTGCTAAATAAAAGCTCATCACAAACTCCTGTTTGTTGATTTACGTTGAATTTATTCTCATCTATAAACGTCACTCTTGTACTTTATAATTTTTATTTTGCCCATTTTTAGCACATCTCACGAGTACCTGTGCTTGCATAAATTTTCACTGCTCTCCTGCTCGGCCTTTAGGTTCCACACTCATTTGAGTCCTTTCCTCTCTGTTTTCCACAGTCCAAATGATGTCGATAAAGATGTCGCAAAAGAAGATATTTCTGGTCCTCCTTGTCATCTGTACCGTCAGTTTTCTACTGCACAATGGAGGCCACTTCAACTGGTGAGTGAATGAAATACAGTCACGAATACGTAAACTCATAATCCATCTGGCAACTTTCTGAAAACACATATTTTCTAATAGGTCTGATTACACTGACCATACTGGAAAAGTCAAACTCTGATAATTATTTAGGAAAGGGATTGACTTGGACTCACAAGTCAAAGTTTTTTTTTATTTGTCATACATGTGGTGGAATGAAATTGTGTACACAGAGTCCCAGATACATACAACAAAAGTATAAAATGTAAAAGAAAAACAATAATAAGATCAAAGATATGAACTAAGAACAATGTTAACTAAAAATACGCTAAGCACTAGTAGTACAAAAACAATACGCCGAACAGCAGCATGAAATAAATCAGCAGCATGATGTGATTTTTTATTTTTCAGAGTAGATATTCATGAGTCTAACAGCTTCAGGGTAGAAGCTGTTCCTCAGTCCAGTAGTTCTGCACTTAATGCTCCTCAACCTCCTGCCTGAGGGGAGCGGGTCAAAAAGTGTGTGCTGGATGAGTGGGGTTCTTCATGATGCAGATGGCCCTCTTCCTGCATCTAGAGGTGCAGATGTTTTTGATGGTGGGGAGGCTGACTCCAACAGTCTTCTGTGCAGCCTGTAAATATATAAATAAGTAGGGATAGTAAGGCTGTCTTTAGGGGTATCTAAAATATATATATTTAGTGCTGGTATTGAAAATATGGTGTGAAATTCGTGCTGGCCATTTTCTCCACCAAATAAAAAACAGCCACTAGGGTGCACCAGCCAGTTTATCTCTTGCACTGGTCCCAAGCTCGGGTAAATGGTGAGAGTTGTGTCACGAAGGGCATCCGACGTAAAACACTTGTCAAAACTAACATACAAGTTTATCTAATCGACACCATGCCGGATTGGTCAAAGCCCGGGCTAACAACGACCGCTATCGGTGCTGTTGACAAACAGGGTGCCGGTGGAAATTGTTCTACTGTTAGTCAAAGATCACGAGAAGGGAAACATGTCAGGAGACAGAGGGAGAAGAGGAAAGTCAAGAATGTAATGTACACTTTTAAAATGAAGAAAGGCAGATTCATAGTTTTTCAAAGAAATATTTTCTTTATCATTAATATGGTTATTATACCTGGACATTTTTGTGTTAAGAGTAGAGCTTTTGTGCTGGTGTCAAAATACAGTTCTCTTACTTTTAAGACAGTTGAAGACACCCGTGCAAAAATACACAAGAGTCTGAGGTTGGATCAGGATGCTTGCAATGACTAACTATTCTGAGAAATATTTGTTGTGCAAATTGTTTTGAACTTGTTCAAAATTCAAGCAGCAATATTTTGTTCTTCTATGACTCATGTAAATGAATTGAGAAACCATGTGAATGCTTTGAGACATTTTGTAGACTCCCTTGAAAATATTGTATGCCACCTAGCTGCCAGCAGATGCAGCCCAGTAAATTAAAGGATGGAAGCTTGAAGCTCTCCAATAGTAACTGGGTGATAGTTTGGTATCACACTGGACAACTCGCCAACACACCATAGCCAAGTATATATTGTTTTTTTCATTATTTTACTGGGTTCGTTTCATCCCCTGGGTCTTCTAAACTTTTTGGGTGTTTTCCATCATATTCATGCAGACATTTACATATATTTTAAAGGTTCATAACTTTCTTGTTTCCTCTGTGTAGAAGAGCTTGGACAAGAAAGATTTTTTTCTTTATTCATTTCCAGATCCTATTCTTTTTAATCATGTTTTCCTATTGTTCTACATATTGGTTTGTCCCATTACATTTTTATTCTTTGTGAAATTATGTCATATATAATTTGTCTAAACTGATTTTTCACAGCTTGTATGGCTTCTAACTAATTACTCTGTCTCTGTTTTTAAGGAGCATGGAGGCCTTCCATCTTCGATGCTCTACCCTTCGCTCTCAGATTACCCCAGGTCTGAAGCCTAAGCACACCAACATTGTCTTCCTCAAGACCCACAAAACGGCCAGCACCACAATGCAAAACATGTTATTTCGATTTGCGGAGCGCAACAACTTGACAATGGCATTGCCTAAACCAAATTGTGGTCACCAGTTTTGTTACCCACAATTATTTTCCTCTCACTTTGTTCATCCGCATACGCTACCACCAAACATGATCACGAGCCACATGCGCTTCAATAAGACTGCACTGCAACGCCTGATGCCAAATGATACAATATACATCACAATCTTGAGAGAGCCAGCTTCCATGTTTGAATCTTTGTTCACTTACTACAGCCGCCACAGTGGGAGCTTCAGGAGGGTCCCAAATGGCTCTCTGGAGGCCTTCTTAGCAGACCCTTTACGGTACTACCGGCCAGAAGAGGCAGATTCTATGTATGCACGCAACACCTTGACCTTTGACTTGGGTGGAAACAAAGATCGGACAGCAACAGATGTGACTTATGCTCAGGCCTTTGTGGCAGAAGTGGAGAAAGTTTTCTCCTTGGTGATGATTTCTGAGTATTTCGATGAATCTCTAGTTCTTCTTAGTCATCTCCTTTCTTGGGATTTGGATGATATTGTATATGTCAAGCTCAACATGCGAACAGAAAGTTCCAAAAAAAGTCTGTCACCAAGTCTCCCTGCAAAGATTCGTACCTGGAATTCAATAGATGCATACCTTTATGACTACTTTAATGCCTCATTATGGGTCAAACTATCAGCTCTAGGTCTAGACTGTGTGGCGAAGGAGGTGTATCTTCTTCGACTGGCCCAAGAGAGGCTAACTAAAAGCTGTTTTGGTGGGCAGATGCCAGTTCCTCGTTCAGCTTCTGAGATAAGAAACAAGGATCTTCGTCCTTGGCAGCCTAGTGAGAAAGTTGGCATAATTGGTTACGATCTGCCATTAAATATCAGCCATGAGGCAAAGGAGCTCTGCCTCAAGTACATTATGCCAGAGATCACATACACACAAAAGCTTCTTCACTCCCAGTTACTGCGACACCGTCAAAGTTTTCAGAATCGAACTCCACAGAAGTCAAATATACCCCAACAATCTATACGCACCACCCCGCCTCGTCATTCTCAGGTTCATCGCACCCAACCACCACCTTCTAATGCTCAAGGTTCTGCTTCAACAACAAAGTCTAAATTTACCCTAAACCAAGGTACAGGAACATCAAAGTCAGGGCCTAAATCTTCAAACACCAGTGTCTTGTAGATTTTAATATAATAGCAGTGCCCAAAAGACTGCATGGTCTACCCTTAAGACAAAGATGATTGGTTGGTAGGGAGCTTAGGAAACCATTTTATGTGAGAAAAGTATTTCTCAAATATTTCTTGTTCCTTCAGACTACCTTTGTTAGAAAAAAAAAGAAGCAAAGCTATATGAGTTAACCATATATTGGCTTATGCTATATTCTCCTCCCTTTCTGGTCAGTAAGACAGTTTCAACGATGGAAGACCAAAAGCAGTAAAACAAGCAACACTTGAAATGAACCGGAACATGACTTTTTTTCTGTTTTCTGACTGCTGTGGATGGGAATAGGGTTTAAATTAAAGTAGATACCTGAAGGAAATCTGAAATGAAGATTTAGTAACATTGGGTCTACTGTAATGCACAATGTGTGCTTTGTTTGTTTCAGATGGGTATAGTCTCATATTACTTACTATTATTTTCTGTTTCTTAGCCTCACTTTAACTCAGTCTCTTGGTAATGTATACCACTTAGTCCTTGACAGACATAATGACACAAGGGGATCAGCTGTCAGGCCCGTTAAAGCCAGACATCGGGCTTTCCAACCACTAAAAACAACAGCACAAAACAACTTTTCTTCTTCTTTTCCAAAGTCTAAAACCTAAAGCAACAGAGGCAAGACTAGATAAAAAAGGCAGAAACAAAGAGACCTTATCTCTGAAAACTGTTGGATGTTCAGTTTGGCCACCCATTACTGTCATGACTCACAAAGAGACTGAGCACACATTCAGTCTAAAAGCCTGTGCTTCCTTAGTTTTTGACCACCCTTGGTCCCCATAGCACTGGTTTCGTTAATTTACAGGATAATCATTTCTTTTACTCTACTGAGGCATCTGTACATGTACAGAAATACCTAAATCTGGCTTTAGTTTCCCCTGTTTTGCCTCAGTGTTAGAGATGATCACATCTTGCACTGTCAAAGACCAGATTTCACTATATGTGGTTTACTTCTTTACAAAGATTATTATTACAGTAAGATTTGAGTGCTTCTTATAAAAAAAGCATGGATTTATTAATCCACCTGCTGAGAACAAAATTAATCATAAGAAAAGTGAACTCAAACATGTAGGTGTTTAGAAAATGTGCCTGGTCACACATTCATTTTTTTAAAAACTGTGCAGGAATTAAATAGTTATTAAATAAATGACTAAATAAAATACAGTCACACTACAAAATGCTACTGGTTTTAAAGCAAACTAGTTGGTTTGATCCCAGGAGGATATAGTCTCCTTTAGAAATGAGCCAGTATAAAATCCTGACAGTAATGTCACCGCAAACAAAAATACAAAATTTTATCCAATTTATTTACAGTAATTTAAAAACCAAAATAATATTACTTTTCCTGCTGCCTCTAAAGTACTTCCTGTTACAACTAAACCAATTCAATAAAAAGCTATAATGGTATTTATAATATATATGGTTATTTTTAATGTCTATATCAATTTTATTTATATATCATAATTACAAACAACAACATTGACCAAAGTGCTTCACAAGAAGGTTAGGAACAAACAAGAAAAAGTAACAATGAAATAAAAAATAAAAAATCAGACATAACAAATCCATAAGTATAGCAAAATTGGCTAAAAACAATCCAGAGCAAGAAAATATCACAACTTGAACCTTCGGGTGGAGCTCTAACTGAACTTTAATTAAAAGCCAGTGTAAAAGAAAAGTGTTTTCAGGCAGGATTTAAAAGACCAGCAGCATCTCTGTTTAAAATCAGCAACTGGAAAGACCAAGGTTTGTTTTAAAACATATTTCATTTTTACGGATTTATGGATTTTTAGAGAATTTAAACCAAAATATCAAATTACCATTATGGTACTGAAGTAAAAAGAGGTGTTATGTAGATTATGAATTATTCGTCACTCTCCTTTTTGTGAAGTAACGTGTGCCTGATCAGCTGATCTCAGTAAATTAGCTCGTTATTAGCCTTGGTGTCAGCCTGCAGCCGGCAGCTTTACCTCTAGACATGGACATTTTTGTAGATTTTATGTTTGTTTCAAAACAAATTTAGCATAAAAAGAGTGATGAGTGTTGCATTTCTGGTAGCTCTGCCATGAATGTCAAAGTTTTTTGCTATAGGAAAAAAAAACTATTCTCAAATATCTGACATTTCCTTTATTTTTTATTTTATTTTTTTTCTGCAGCAATAGTTGGTGAGGGGAGTGCTCCTCTACACCACATCAATCCAAAAAAGTGAAAAGCTTTTAAAAGCAAGAGAAAAATATATAAATAAATGTAGGTGATTTTGAAATTGTGACCTATTAAAACTTTAAAAACATACATTTTGTATCCAGCCCATGCACAGTTCACGTTTACATGTGAGCGTGGTACCAAGAACAAGCTGTGGGAAATTCTCAAAGCCACAGTATTTATTATTTATTACCAAGTCTTTAGCATTTCAAGGTGGACCTGAGTGCTTAAACCTTGTTTTCTCATTTTAAAAAGTTGCAATTTTATTTTTATCTTATGTACTACACACCATTCAGGCAGTGCCGATGGAATAATACATACGGCAACCGCATCAAATATTTATTCTGTTCATGTTTCACGTCATGCACAGAGACCACTTCTGAAAACTGCAGTAACCACACAATTATTTTGTGGTTACAGTCCTTTAAAGTACAGAACATCGCAATAAAAACACACAAACGGACACTATAGCAGCGGAAACAGAAGCTGAAGTGGGGGGGCAGGAGGGAAAGCCACAGATTTGTGAAGAGGCTTCGAAAATCTAAACTCAGATTAACGTTTTGTGAAAAAAACTGGGAAACCTCATCTTTGAAAGCACGAGGCACAGCAATTTGTTTTATTTATTGAATACAATGTGTGTGTGTGTGTGTGTGTGTGTGTGGGGGGGGGGGGGGGGGGGGGGGGGTGTCTATGGTCTACTACAGGGCTTTTCAACTGGCGGCCCCGGGGCCAAATCAGGCTCATGGATGAACTCAGTTCGGCCCTCCAATAGGTTCATTTTTAAATAAAACTAGATTTGAAACCATAAAACAAACTTAATGAGAATAAGTGCTGGATGCTCGGCCCCTGAGCTCTTGGCTTTCAGTAACTGTGCGCCCCCCCCCCCCCCACCCCCCGAGCAGTTTACTTGAATAGATCTGGTTTATAATAAAAGCAGGATGTGGCTTTTTTTTCTTTTCTATTTATTTTAATACATTTCATGAAAAGAACAAAAACACTAAATTATGTGTTCAGTTTCTTATTCTGTGACACTCAGGAACATCTAGGTGAATACTGCATTTTTCTTTTTTTCTTTTTTGGGGGGGGGGGGGTGCTATTTCAAGCTGTGAACGGCTACACATCTGGTACTTTTTCATAAACCAGTGATGACAGTAATAAGGTTAGTGACTGTGACTGTGTTTTTGTTCACTGCAGACTTTTCAATGCACAGAAGATGCATAGAAAGATCAATTTATTAGACTTTTTGTGGGGGTTGTTCATAACAAGGCACATGTTACCAGCCTTTTTTTTAATCACATGGTGGCTAATGGTGATCCTCTGCTGTATTTTAATTAGGTTAAAATCAGCTGATGTGTGAAAACGTATTTTGAATACTTGTGAAACTCTTGAATTTTATTTATTTTTTTCAGCCACATGTAAATCTACTGTAAATGAACACTAAAATATAACGCTGTGAAACTGCAACACTGAATTTATGGTATGTGTATGACACTATTAAAGCGTTTTGTTTTTTTTTAGGATCCAAATATTTCAATAATACACAACTGAACCGTTATGACTTAAATTATATATGTTGTGTTAAATATTAAGTTTGTGGCTTTTTTAAAATTCCTGGTTATGTTTATTTAAAAGCATGGCAATATTTGCACAAAACTATTAAACTTTAATTTATGTCTTTTAAGACAAAAAAATATTTTATTTGTTCAAATGATGAATAATGTGATGATGGTAACTCACTGACTGCAAAATATACATTTTGCAATAAAATAAAAAAATATATATTTAAAAAAAAATGTTGCGAACGAGTTGAAAACAAAAAACAAGCCTTATTTGTCAATTTTACGGATTTCGTTTTATAATGTGTCATAAATGTAAATAGAACATTTTTATTTCTAGAACAAGTTCAGGTACTGCCAGTGTGTGTGTGTTTGGTTCTACTGCTGAAAAATATGCTTTTTAGATGCTGGTAAATGAAGTTCTCTGATCCTTTAGCTGTAATTTAAATGAAAGAACAAACAGATGGTGAAAGCAGGTATTTGCATATTCTTCTTTTCCCTTGTATCTGTTTGGGATTCAGTTTAAGGAATGTGTTCATGCTTACGGTATTTTTCGGACTATAAGGCGCATTAAGCGAAACAAAACAGTCAGATAAGTCGAACTTTATTCAACTCATTCACAATGACCACATAAAATCGGTTCGAGGTCAGTAAGCACAATCAGAATGAATACATAAGGTGCACTGTAGATTTTTGAGACAATTAAAAGATTTTAAGTGCGCCTTATAGTCTGAAAAATACGGTAATCCATTTCTCACAGCCAGTGAGATGCTCTAAGTGCTCTTTTGACTGTAAACGAAGCTTCTGATGCTCGGCTTGTTGTGTGAATGTTTTAGTGACGTAATCTTTAAAATGGTCTCATTTAAGGCCTTTTAGAAAAAGCTCAACTATCTTGGCAGCTTCGGCTTTTTATTTCTAGTTCTTTGTTTCAAAGTTAATTTCCAGTCCCATCGAGATATCTTTGTGTTTCTAGATAAATGTAAATAAAACCCAAAGGGAAATATGAAGTCAAATGAATTGGTTTGTAAACAGATATATATTTTTTGTCTTCCATTGTCTTTAACCTGACCGTTCTTTATTTCCTTTGCTTGTTTTCAGCATTTATCTGAAAAGTGAGGATTTTCTGTTGTTCATTTAAAATGTTTTAGTTTTGTGATTGATTGAAAACTCTGGGATGGATGACGGCGCTCTGAACAAATGGAGACAATTGGAGCTAGGGGCCTCAAAGCTTTGAAAATATGAATGTGGTGAATAAAGTTTGAATGATTTCAATTCCTT